CGTATGTTTCATGAGAGACATGCAGTTCCAAGGCCAATTCACGAGTGTGTTGCCTTGGGTCAGACTCAACAAGCGTCTTCAGAGCATCAATATCAATTCCAACATGTCGGCCCCAGCCATCACAGTTTTTAAGGCTAAAGTCACCTGAGCGAAATTTGCTGAACCATCATTGACACTTTCGAACGTTCAAAACATTTCAATAAACTTCTTTGACATTCTTTGTGGCTATAGAGCCGTCGTTTCCCTTCTTGTATTCAAACAGCATTACATGCCGAATGTGTGTCTCTCATGTGCCATCACTATAAGGGGTTAAAGTATACTAAACTTTACACATTATATAGGCTACACTAAAGTGACGTTTGGACGGTTCGTTTAACTGTTATAAGTGATGTACGTGTTTTTGTTGTTTTCTTTTTTTGGGGGGAGGGGGGTAATGAAAGTGTTCCAGAACGCGACATTAATTTCTTGACGACCTAATATATATATTAGAAGTTGTTAATTAATCTGATTTTTACCAATATTTATTTTATGGATACACCACGAATTCATTTCATGAATGATCTTAATTTTGATTGGCTCATAAAGGAATTTAACGACATTTGACTGCCTCAACTGCACTTTTCTACCTCTTTGTTGGTCAAACTTGATTTCGCAAAATTAATTAATTTCAGTTAGCTCTGAAATGTGAGGTATACTATGGGGGTGGGGTGGTAGTACTTGCCCAGTCATTTTTGACAGGCTATACGCTAGTTTAATAATATTCACTACAATTTTGTTTCTTATTATCGTTTATTTTAGAAGGGCCATTAAAGCAACAGTATTGTTGTTCCCGTTACTCGGAATCACTCACTTGTTGTTCTGTGTCAACCCACAAGATGACGCCACTTTAGAAGAAGCTTACATGATCACCAATGCTGTTTTACAGTCTTTACAGGTGATATAAAATATTTATATGTAAAAGTAATATTTTTACATAATTAGTTAGAGTAACGATAATTTACATCAACTGTAAGACGAGAAATTTAATCAATGTCTTGATGATATAATGACAGTAGTAGCAAGCGACACTAACATAATAATTTATGTATTATCGTAGTTATACCTGTTTTAATATGTGTGTACATAAATAGGAACACTAACCATTTTAACCCTGCATTAGTGTTCTGTACAAATTTTCCATAGTCACTCTTCTGGGGTCCAAGCGGACCCCATCATACAAAATTAGTTTGAAAATATTTTAATTAATAATAAACTATTATTTTAGAAACACTAACACTCAAAGTACTTTCCTTTATTAATCAATAAATGGATATTGAATATTAAAAATTTTTTCACCACCTAAATTAAGTGTGACAATTTAACGAAAACTAGCCGGATACTGAAGCTACTGAAAAAAAAAAAAAACATGTACGCGCTTCCATCTGATGGCGCCGATGTTTACAAAATATTTGGGGTCCGTGAAGACCCCAGAAGACTAACGCAGGGTTAATAAAGCTGAAAATAATTTGTTTAATCAATTCTTTAATTCATTTCATTAAGCAAAAAACTGAAACCACTGTTTCTGTTAAAAATTAATTGCTGTTGTGTTTGATTGGTTTTCCTATTTTACCTACTGTATCTGTACTAAAAAATTTCCATCTTGGTTTACTCTATCTTAGTTTGTTTTATGTTCAATAATATTTGCTTTATTTTCGACTCTACTTTTTTCTAATTGATCTAGTTCAAACACTCGGAATTTCCACGTGCTTTAAAACTAGTATTTTTTGTGATACTTGCATCGTTTTCAGTTCTTGCTATATTTTTAACATATCAAACGTTTAGGGTCAGGGGCAATGGAAAAGAACAAAAATTTGTCTATTTTTCATTTGAAGAATGTGATTTCTCGCCCAAACAGGGGATCTTTCTGGCTGTGCTGTACTGCTTCATGAATTCAGAAGTAAGTAAACATTTCTTAAACTTGCTTTCCATCTCAAAATGAAAATCTAAATTACAGTTAGTTAGGCGAAAAAAACTCTAAATTCCCTCTTTTCACATATTGTTCAATAACACTTTAAATAAAAAAATAACATCTTTCTAGGCACAAAGTTACACAAAGGGCTATCTGTGTTCTGCCGACCTCAGGTATCGAAACTAAATTTTAGCATTATAAGCTCTCAAATGGAAACTGTATCAAGTGATATGAAAACCAAGTTTTTTGTTTTATTGAAAATTATCTTTGTCAGAGGAATTGAAATTTAGAACACTGTTGAACAGTTAAATATTACTAACCCACAAGTTAATTATCATTAATTGACTTTGCTCTCCGTGTCATGTCTCTTCTTCCAATACTTGTGGGTGAAAAATGTAAGCTAGAAACGTGACTTTAACTTTCATGCTTTTAAACATACTGTTTCCAACTGTTAGACAGCTGAATGTTTTGTTATTATACTGATGTTAGAACATAATTTATTGTATTCATTGGAAGTTTGTGTGATGTTACGTCAAAATAAAAGTTTGAGAATTTTTAGCTTATTCTTCTTTACGGGATTAATACGGATTTCCATTTAGAAGATTGAAAAAATAGCAATTCAACTGCACGTGCTGAATTTTGCACGTTGCAGCCCACAAGACCTTTCGCTCAATACCAGAATTAACCAGACCAGCTGGGTTACAACACACACAAAGCATTCTTGGAAATGTTGCCAATTTCATTTATCAGATAAGCTTGTATTGCGATGCAAAATCGCATCTTCCACGAATCAACAAGTAGTGATTTATCATCTCAATCAGTATTTAAAATTATTTATATTACCTCTACGAAACAAGAGCTTTTAATAGTTTTAATTTATGTTTTAATCCCATGGTAACTTAAAAAACATAAGTCGGATTATTTGTCAGTTGGACAAATCTATTCTTGCAGCAAGTTGTTTCCAAGACTTTTGGGTGTTACCATGGAGTCCCTTGCCCTAAAAATGCCTTGAATCTCATGACACTTGAGAAGATTTGATTGGAGTTCATTCTACGGAATGTGATACACGTGTGTAACTATGGATACGAAGAAGAAGGTTCTGTAATAAAGGTTAATTAAATCCGACTTAGAAAAACAAAACGTCTATTTAGTTATATATTCCTCGATTTCAGCAAAATCTTGCTGTTAAAGTGATAAAACACGGAAACCTTTGCGAGGTGTTCCACTCATATACTTTGATATGTCTGCACAAAATAATTGAGAAAGTACGAGGCAATGTAAATATATTTTACGAAAGAAGGGACTACTACAATAAAAACTATACACGAAATAGCATGGCCTGGTGGTTAAAAATACTTAATTCGCAATCTGCGAATCGCGGGTTCAAATCCCTTCATTGAACATGCTCGCTCTTTCAGCCGTGGGGGGTGTTATAATTGACGGTCAATTCTATTATTCGTTGGTAAAAGAGTAGCCCAAGATTTGGCGGTGAGTGCTGTTGAATAGCTGCCTTCCCTCTAGTCTCTCACCTCAAAATTAGGGACGGCTAACACAGATAGTCCTCGAGTAGCTTTGCGCGAAATTAAGCAAAAAAAGAAACCTAATGAACAAACAAAAAAAATTAAAACTCGGAGTTGCTAAAACGAATGAAATTCAATATCTACCTCAAGAAACAGAACTTAAGCCTAATCAATGAAACTTGTTTACTTAAAAGTTACTAACTTCTTTAATGTATAAACCAGAAATAGCTGGCATGAAATTTCCATGTTTACTTAAAAGTTAGTAACTTCTTTAATCTATGTTCGTAAAAACATCAAAAAAGATAGTTTCTCGCTAATAGAAGTGCTTCAATCTTCCCTTTTAGTAGTATGAAATATATTACCATGTTCGTAAAAATAGAATAAAAAGATGGTTTCTCGATAATAGGAGTGCTTCAATCTTCCCTTTTAGTGTAAAATCTATTACCATGTTCGTAAAAATAAAATAAAAAGATGGTTTCTCGATAATAGGAGTGCTTCAATCTTCCCTTTTAGTGTGAAATCTATTATCATGTTCGTAAAAATAAAATAAAAAGATGGTTTCTCGATAATAGGAGTGCTTCAATCTTCCCTTTTAGTGTGAAATCTATTACCATGTTCGTAAAAATAAAAAAAAAGATGGTTTCTCGATAATAGTAGTGCTTCAATCTTCCCTTTTAGTATGAAATATATTACCATGTTCGTAAAAAATAAAATAAAAAGATGGCTTCTCGATAATAGTAGTGCTTCAATCTTCCCTTGTTTATATTTTCTGTAGGTACAGACTGCTCTAAGAAATGCCTATCTTCGTGCTGCCGTTCGAAGAAGTGCTACTACCAGTATGCGAGACCGAGGATTCTCAAATACTTCGGCTTCGTATTACGACTGCTCTGCAGCTTGCAGTCCACGCCACAAGAGGGCTTCGGCTAAAGGCGTACACATACATCTTTCAGATTTGGCCAACACAAGGTTCATAAGTAAACAAGTGAGTCGTGTGTAAGCTGGAATATTACCACCATTTTCTACTTATAATTCATGTAAACTATTAAATATTGTGTTACGTACAACACCACAGTACTTCTTTTGTTGTAATGTTATCAGTAATTTCTTTGAAATTGTTGTAAAAATGCTGAAGCCTTTGTACCTTAGAACTCATGTAGTTGATTGATAAAACTTATACGCTTTAGATTACATAATTGAGAATGTCAGATTTAACAGAGATTTAAAAGTTTATTGTAAACGAAACCAAAGTGTGTGTGTTTTAGTTACGAGCCCTAGATAAACTTGTATATGTCATATAAGTTCAATGGTCATTTTTCTAAAAAAATCAATATTATTCATATATCATACATACGCTTCCCTTCGTGTTCTTGTTCTTTCAGCACTTCATAAAGTTTACGAATTATCATTTGTTTCAGTTATTATTACTCGCAATTTGAGGGTCGCGGGTTCGAATCCCCACCAAAATGCTCGCCCTTTCAGC